AGTATAGTATAGTATATATACTATTCCTATTATATTACGGTTCTGGGATCACCGGCATTCCCTGTCCTGTACGACAATGACAGCGCTCATGGGAAAGGCTCATTTTTTTCCTTGCTTTTTGGATTTTGGGGTATTTTTTAGCCATGTGCTCTGGTTTTACTCCTTTTTTTCTAATTGCAATTAACTACGTGGGGTTTCCCCGTGTGGCTGCATTCTTGCAGTAAGTTGACAATTTGGGGTAGAAATGGATTTTTAAGGACAACTTGCTATCCCCATTGGCTGCATTGCCCATGATCTCTTCCAAACCCCTATTCCCCAGGAATTTGGGCAAAAAACCATCGATTTCTGCTACACTGCTTCCCGGGGGCAGATCAGCAAAAATCCCCCTATGCAAATTTTTTTCTGAAAGGCCCCAATTTAATTGCAGGAGCCTCTTAAAAAAAAAAAAAAAATAGCATTTTGGAAATGGGTGGCACCTCCCTGGCAGGTTTTATTGCCTTTGCAATGCTTTTTTTTTCCTTCTTTCTTTAATATCTCTCCATCACGGGCTTGAATCTTGCAGCAAAACCCTCCGTGGTGTGAAAAACACGCGCGCAGGGAATATCGGGGCAGGGAGAGAGCCCTGGACAAGCACCTCTGGATGCTCTTCTCGCGCCGCCGGCATGATTTATTCAGCCAGAGCCCAGGGGAATCGCAGGGACCTGCTGGCCTGATGTTTAATTCATCCAGGAGAAGTGTTTTGATGAAGAGCTGGGAAAAAAAAAAAATCCCTTTTTAACTCAAGCGCTGAGATTTCAGTTCGCTTCCCGCAACCTCATTAAAACTTCTCTTGCAGCAAGATGTTTATTTTTTATTTCTTGGGGAAGAAAAAGGCAAATTTTCGCTCAATGGGCACGTTTCTCCTCGTGGTGGGAATCAGCTGGGTGAGGAGTGCAGGTTTGCAAGGGGTTAATGAATGGCAGGGTTTTAACCTCTGGTTTAGAAAGTCTTTTTTTTTTGCCGTTTTTTTAAGGTAAAAGTGTTTTCCTCCTTAATTGCACATCGAAAACGGCCATGGCATTGGCACCACGGTCCCCAGCTGTGCCGGTGCCGGTGCCGGTGCCACAGGGAGAAAAAGCCCATTGCCCTTTGCAAAGCATTGGCAAAAAAAGGGAGATATTAAATAGAGATCCTGTGGGAAGATTGGGATGTAATGCGAATTTGGGGGGGGGCGGGAAATGGGTTTTGGATGCTCCCTATGAGTTCCTGGTTTTTGCACTCACCCCACTCCCGTTTTGGGTTGGTTTTGCTCATTTTTGGGGTTGGTTTTGCTTGGGTTTTGGGTTGTCCATCGCTATCTTCAGCCAATTCTCTCCCCGTTCCTCTCGCCCGGCAGGTGAACCTGGATCTCACCTCCCTCCTCGACGGTGAGGACAAGAAGTCCAAGAACAAGCGGGGCGTCCTGCCCAAACATGCCACCAACATCATGCGCTCATGGCTCTTCCAGCATCTCATGGTGAGCACCACAGCTGCCAAAATACCCTGCAAAGCTGGAGAAAAAAGGCAAAAAACCCCCAAAATGAACAAATCAAGGTGGTGGTTTGTCTGAATTTATATTCAGAGGCGCAAAGTGGCTTTGGTTTTATTTGGGGAGTATTTTGGGGATGACCGTTTTCACTGCAGGTGGCCAAAATACTCCCTTAATGCATGAAAAAGCAAACAAAAACAGAGGGGGACTTCCACAAATTATTGTGGATGCGTGATGGAGCATTTTTTTCCAGTTAACAACTCCAAAATACCATTTTCCAGCAAGCCGGGTTGTGAAAGCTGCCCCACAGGTATGGCTGTGGCACATCAAACTGCAGAATTGCAAAATCGCCCCATTTTGGGGGATGGAGATGTAGGTAGACGGAGGGAGCTCAGACGATGCAACCGGGTTATTTTCATGCAAGGAGATTGCTCTCCCATCAGCAGAACCGGGAGAAGAGCAGAAAGCTAAAAAAAGCCCCTTTCTCCTGCATAATTTGGCCAAGAAATCACTCAGAAGCTGGTTGCACAGAGTTGCATGAGGGTCTCCAGGAGGGTGGGAGACAACCAAGGTAGCAGCAAGATGGAAAATAACAGCTCCAAGGAGCAACTTAGGGTAAAACATGACCCAGGACATGGAACAGCAGCTGGTTGGGAACTTTCCAGCCTTTTTTTTACGGGAAATTTTGGATTTATTGCGTGGAGGACAAGAGCCACCATCCCAAGCTGCGTTGTGCATCTCCCATGCTTTTGGAGGGCTGGACCGCAGATTTGCAAGCAGAAAAAGGATTTAGAGGACCAGAAACTGAAGAACATTTTTCTGCCAGGTGCTAGGAGAACCCCATGGTTTGAAGTTTCCAACACTGAATCGAAAAACTAAAAGAAATTCTTCTTCTACTGGACGGTTGGACCTTTGCTCTCAGCCTGGTCCTCATGGTCAGAAGATGCTTGGGATTCCCCATCTGACATCATAATGATGTGGTTTTTAACCTAATAGCATTGATGCTCATAGTTTTATTGGGTTTGGGAGTTTTGTAGCACCAACAGGAGGAAGGAATCCTGGAAATAATATGCCAAAAATGGAGATACTTTTGCCAAAAAAGAGCCCTTTTTAACCACTTTGGCATCCCTGAGGCCCCAGCGGGATAGGGGTCTCCTGCATGCAATGACTTTGGGTGGTTTTGGCAAGGAAATCACTATTTTGGGGCAAACAGCTGGAAAACAAGGCATGTGAATCAACACTGGCGCTGGCTTGGGGCTCTGAAAAACGACATGGCGGGGCTGGTTTGAGAATAATTTCATTTTTGGGGTTGGAAAGGAGGATTTTAGTGCAGTTGGGAGGGAGTTGATGAAGCTTTGAGTACCGCTAGCCTCCTCCTGCAGATATTTCAGGGTGTTTTATTGATGCACCTGACAAGGAGCGTTGTGGGTGACAGCGGGTTTTGAAGCCCAAATCCCACTTTACCAACAACCATTATTAGAAAATCACCAAAACAAAACAAAACAAAATTTTCCTTCAAGGAAAAGCTCTAAGGATACTGGGGAAACCGTGATGCTCTCGGATGCCATCCTTAAGCCTTGCATCTTGCAAATGCAAGAAGCCACCAAATCTGGGGTGGGAAAATGAAAAAAATGGAGGGGGGTGTGTGTTCATTTTTTTTTTTTCACTCGGGGCTGCCGTTTTGCACTCGGGGATGTCATTTTGCTGCCCCATCTCTCTTTTTTTTTCCAGCACCCCTACCCCACAGAGGACGAGAAAAGGCAAATCGCTGCCCAAACCAACCTGACCCTCTTGCAAGTCAACAACTGGTGAGCACATCGGTGGCCTGTGCGGTCATCTTTCTGGCTTTAGAGATGTTTTCACGCTATTTTGGTACTATGTAATGCTTTTTTGAGGGTAACTTGGGTGGTCAGGGATGATTTCTGGGAGGTGGGCTCGGGTGCGTTTAATTGACAGCATTCGTTTGCGATGTCTCAGTGCCCTCTCCTGGCAAACCCAATATGTAGCAGCCTCCAACTCATAGCTGGAAAAAATGCAATGGTGTAACATGCCACAGACAAATAAAACAGGGTAAAACCCCAGCTTTTTAGACCATGCAGCCACTTTCGAAAGGGTTTTACATTGCAACTCATTAAATTGTTATAATGTCCATTGTTTTAACTCAAAACTGATGTAACGACTCTTTATTTACTCAAATGCTGTTTTCCCTGGAAAGGTTCATAAATGCCCGGCGGCGCATCCTGCAGCCAATGCTTGATGCCAGCAACCCGGACCCAGCCCCCAAAGCCAAGAAAATCAAATCTCAGCACCGGCCCACCCAGCGGTTCTGGCCCAACTCCATCGCCGCTGGGGTCCTGCAGCAGCAGGGTGGCAATTCAGGGACAAATCCTGACGGTAAGGACAAACCCTGATGGCTCCTGCCCTTCCTGGATGGGGTGGCCACACATTAAATTATGGCCGTAATTGGTAATTAAGGATTTCTGGAGCCCCGTATCACCCTATGGCGAAAAACATGAAGAGGTGGCTCATGCAAGAAGGCTTCCAGTTGGCCATCACAAGGGCAGTGCCATCTTTTTGGCACAGGAACAGCCCTCAAGGATCACCCTCTATGGGGCATCATTTGGGATATCTCCTGAGGTGCTGGGGAGGGGAAAAAGGGGGAGATGGGGAGAGGAGAGCAGAGAAAATGAAAAAAAGATTAAAAGATGAGAAGACAGATGAGACAAGATGGGAAGCAAGAAGATGAAGAGAGAACAGATCACAAAAATGAAGAGGAGTAGGGAAGATGAAGAGAAGGTGAAGAGAGCAGAGATGAGCATGGACCAGACAAAATGAGAAGAAAGAAGAGGAAAAGAAGGGAAGGTAGCAATTAAGAGAGGATGAAGAGAAGATCTGCCCAACCAATTTGGGCATCTACTTGCTCAAAAATGAAGGTTCCTTGTTATTTAATGAAGATACATTAGCTAAAAAAATTAAGGGTTGGACCTTGGGGAGTGGCTGGGGCAGGTGGGATACCCTACAGACTGCTCTGTCTAGGTACAGCTTTTTGCTTGGGTTATTCTTCGTTTATGCACATTTTTGTCCTTTTTATATTAGCCGGGGAGTCCTTATTTCTGTATTTTTTTAAATTTCAGGCTCGCTCAGCATGGACAACCTGCAACCCCTCTCATCAGCCACGGCCACCATGGCCATGCAGCAGGCCATGCTGGCGGCCCATGATGACTCCCTTGACGGCACCGAGGAAGAGGAGGAGGACGAGGAGGATGAGGATGAGATGGAGGAGGAGGAAGAAGAGGAGGAAGAGCTAGAGGAAGAGCCTGGTGGCCTCCCGGCAGCGCCCGGCGCCGACCTTGGCTTGGACCACAGTGACTCGCTGGAATAGCTCCTCCTGCGCCCTCCCAAATCATTGATGGCACCGGAAACAAAACTCCCCCCAAAATGCCAAAAAACCCCGGCAAGAACAAAAACAAAATTGGTGACAAAAAAAGCAAATTGGAGGCGCTGGCGGATGCCCCGGCTGCCCACGGGAGCGCGGGGACCACCACGTCGGCGCGTGGAAGTGAAGGACACATGTTTACAAGGCACATATTGTGGCCAGATTAATTTTTTTTTTTTCAGGTTTTATTCTTATTTTCCCCTTTTTCCCTTCATTTTTGGTAAGAAAAAGTGTTTTTAGGGGAAGCTGTTTTCCCCAAGCGATGCTCGGATGCTGTTGGGCGACACCAGGTTTTCACTGTGGGCCACCGCGTCCATCACTTGGATTTCTTGGTGCAAAAAAAAAAACAACCCAGCCCCAGGACTGATGCTTTTTGGGTTTTTCTCCCAAAAAGATGATTCACAGGCATAAATATCGGCACACGGGGAAAAGAATCGGCGAATGCAAGTTCTGCTTCAGGTCGGATCTGAGGAGGGTTTGGCACTCTTGACCCACCGGATTGCCCAAACCTCCGTTTTGGCCCTGATGCTGCGGCCGTTTGGTGACTCCGGACGCAACTTTCTGGAAAAGGGAGGAAATTCCCCCAGATCCTTTTAATTTATGTGCGAAAAACCCGTCGAATCTGGAAAAAACCCACCCCATCCTCATCCTTAAGGGCTGAGACTGGACGCAGAGTTGGGGCAAGGGAGTGAGACTTTCCCAGGGTGTTTTGGCACTGAGTCAGGCAAAAATGGGGAAAAAAATGGATATAAAAAATGCAGATTTTCACCCAAAATTGAATGGCGACCCTCAAGATTCACCTGGGTGGAAGGAAATTCAATATTGTTGCTGGAAAGATGTTTTTTTCCCCGATATTGTCCACCCGTGTGGGAAAATGGTGGAGTTTTACCCCAAACGAGCCATGGGGGAGGGCGGCTCTGCAAAAAAAACCAACGTATTTTGGGGGGTTTTTAAAATGTTAGCGAAAGGGCAAATTTTGCCTTAAAACGTGGGGGGGGGAGGGGGAACGCAAAAGCAAACCCGGGTGATGCGGGGCAAAAATAATAAAGGAATTTTCTTCTGCAGGTTCCTCCTGTAAATGCAGGTTTCTGTAAGAAGGATATTTTTTTTTGCGGCTTTTTGCCGGTTTTGTCCTTTTTTTTTTGGCTCTTGAGGAGTTGAGGAAAAAAACCCAATAAACAGCAGCCGGGGGCGGGGGAAAACGAGTGATGCAATGGGCAGAAAAGCCTATTTTTCGATACTGATCTGGCGTGAATGTAATCTGTAATTTCATAAAGGATTCATTGTAATTTAGTATTAATTCATGGCCATTTATTATAAAGTGCTACGAGATGAGGTTTCGCAGCTGTATTTTGTTGGGCCGCTTCTTCCTGTGAGTGGAGAAGCCCCAAAATGGGTGAATAACCCCCCAAAATGGGCAAAACTCCCCTTAACTAGGCGAATCGGCCCCAAAACGGGTGAATTGACCCAAATCTGCGATTGAGTGATGCAGCGCAAATAGGACTTGTACTTCCAAAATTGATGCTCCCCCCCAAAATAAATGATGCTCCCCCCAAATGATTTCCAATCTGATTTTCACCCAAAATGAATGATGCGCTCCCAAAATGAGTGATACACCCCCAAAATGTTACACCCCCCCTAAAACGAGTGACGCTTATCCCAAAATGAGTTATATCCTCAAAAAATGAGTGATGCGCCCCAAAAAGGAATGATGGTTACCCAAACAGGGCCATCCCCCCCCCCCACAATAGGAGGACTCCACT